GCCTGGCACTGAGAAATTGACAAACTTGTCAAGAAACTTCAAACTGAAGTTGATGAGATGAAAAACACACAGTTACAAACTCTACAGAAACATCTGGATGAAATAAAAAAGACAATGTCTTGCATCAAGGAAGAAATTGATACATCCTATACTGTTGTAGAGTCTAATGAAGTTTCAAAGCTTTTAAATTTAAAATCTGTTAATATTACAAGATATAAAAATCTACCTGAAAAAAATCTTCCATCTTTACCAAAATTTACACATGGTAGAATCCAAGGAGGAGAGATTAGTAAACTGTTTGGAGCCTTATCACCAAGTTCTGTAACATTAGAACATGGCTACAGCATGAAGACAACACAGAAATCACCAGAAGCTGGATCCTCTCCTCCAGTCAAACAGCTGCTTGATGAACCAGAGACTGTCACCACCATAGACACTGGGTATGGTAACCTTTACAATGTGGCCTGTCTGAGTGATGAAGAAATCTGGACAAATGGAAATGGCATCACCATGAAACTCTACAGCATCAATCAGGGATCACTACTCAAGTCAATCACAGCCAAGTCAGGGAAACAGCCATGTGACATAGCAGTGACAAAAAGTGGAGATCTAGTTTATATTGATTATGGTGATAGAACTGTGAACATTGTGAAGAATGAGAAGATAGAGGAGGTGATCAGACTACAGAACTGGGAACCTCTTGGTGTCTGTAGTACCTCCTCTGGTGACCTCCTGGTTATCATGGAAAGTGATGATTACAAACAAACAAAAGTTGTCCTTTACTATGGCTCCACAGAGAAACAAACCATTCAGTTTAATGATAAAGGTAATCCTCTCTATTCATCTGGTAGTTCTAACAGATACATTACAGAGAACAGGAACCTGGATATCTGTGTGTCTGATTGGAGAGCTAATGCAGTAGTGGTGGTCAATCAGGCTGGGAAACTGAGATTTAAGTACACTGGACATACTCCTGCTCCAAAGAAGAAATCATTCAATCCACTAGGAATCACCACAGACAGTCAGAGTCACATCCTTACAGCTGATGTTAACAATGTCTGTGTCCACATCATAGACCAGGATGGACAATTCCTCCATAACATAGACTGTGGACTGAGTTATCCCTGTGGACTGTGTATAGATACAAATGACAATCTGTTTGTTGCTGAATGTCAGAAAGGGCAAGTGAAAAAAATAAAATTCCTGCAGTGAAAAAGTTATTACAGACTTGGATCTCCCTGTAGACAAAAAATTTCATAGAGAGACTATACTTTCAATTAGATCATGAAAATCTTTAAAACATACATGCGTCTTTATTTTTATAGGTTTACTGGTATACACATTAAATAATTAACAATGTGGACAAGAGAAAAAGTTTAAAATGTAAAAATGAATGAAAAATCCTATATTTTCTGTACATAAAAGAAATAAAAGATTAAAAAAGTTTTATGGTGGACAATAGAGTTTCATCTCACAGTTACAGGCCCGTAAGAAGCAATTTCAGATTGGGGGGACTATGCACTACCAAAAATCCCTTGACCAGCCAAAACTAGAAATATGTCCACAGGACATGAATGCCTGTCTAGTTTATAGTAGTAATGCAACATGAAAATTTGTATTTGTGTATGAAGTCTGATGACAATATCTAACAGAGTCTTTAAATTGAAATAAAAATTAATGGATATAAATATTATATTCTCACCAAATAATGTATCACTATGAATGCATATTTAGATTAAAATATCTTAAATGATTTCTTTAAAACTACTGATAAGCAAAGTACAAATTAAAAAAAAGGGAGGCAAAGTTCAAAGGAAAGCCCATGGTCAAAAGTGTTTGATACAATTGAATAGCTCCCACTAATACCTATCAGCATATTATGTTTGATAAAAATGTCCTTAATGGTTTATTAAATGAAACTAAGCTAAATACTTATCAAAGGAAAAGGAGGTCAAAGGAAAGGTCAGCATAAAAAAATGTTGATGCAGTAGAAAAGTTTGCATTAGTATGTATCAACATATGAAGTTTGATTATGCTATCTTTAAGGTAGTCCGATCCTCAGGTTTATAATATTAGCAGTTAAGTAATTAAATACACTCATAAAAGTATCTCTGAATCCACAAGATTATGTAATTTTATCCACAGTATTTCTTTAAAGTAAAAGAACAAAGTTAATCATATTAAAGAGGGAAAATTGTCAAATCTCCAATATTTTTGCAGAAAAAGCAAATTGGAATATCGGCAATGCATTTTCTAGTTGAAAATTGATCAACAAATATATTTTAGGCTAAAAAACAATAGATATTCAGGCATTTAGAGAAATTGTCATGAAATTTATACTTATTTGGTATTTTTTGTCTTCTTTTTCCGTCATGTATTCTATAATACATAGTGTAAAAGGTTTTTGCTGTCATTGCAAGACACCATAAATCACTTCTCATTTCATATCCTGCTAACAAGCATTGGTATCTAAGGCTGGATTCAAGAAAATCTTATTTCTTTAAAACTGTATTAATTTTTTCTCCTTTTATAGGGAACAAATGTCAACTTTTATAATACCTTCTCTAAGACTTCCAAAGACCTTGAATCTTATAAAGATGAATAAAATGAAAATTGTTGCATGAAAAAATTTCATTCTCAAGCTTCATTTTTATGCATTTTAATTTAAATGTTAATTTTTGGAGTTATCCTTCCTGGCTGAGGATCGGATATCCTTAATGGTATCTTTAAAACTATAAAGCTTATCATAATTTAAGTAAAGTGACGTAAACCTCAAAGGAAAGGTTAACATCAAAAATATTGATGCATTTGAATAACTTACATCACCATATATCTACATATGAAGTTTGATTATACTATCTTGCATTGTACATGTATCTTTAAAGCTGAGCTGAACACTAACTTAAGAAAAGTGAGGTCACGGTCAAAGGAAAGGTCAAGGTAAAAAAAAATGTTGATTCGGTTGCATAGCTCTCAGCAATATCTCTCAGCATATGAAATTTGATAAAAAATAACTTGAATAGTTTCTTTGAAACTTAGCTTTGAACTGAGCTATACGCAAAGTGTGACCAAAGGACAGACGGAGGGACAGAAGTACGGAAGGATGGAAAGATGGAAAGACAGAAGATGGACATGACGAACACTATATGCCCCTGCCATATTGGTGGCGAAGCATAAAGTTCATCAGACGTTTTTATTAAGGGGGCACAAGCATATAGTTGCTAAGTTTTCTAGCCTCAGTGCCCCCCTTCTATTCCAACATGTGATCCTAAAAAAACAAATGCTTTTAATTTGTAGACATGGAAGACCAAGGTAGAATTCGAAATCCTTGAGGTTGATTAAACCAATGTAATAGGGGATAATTCAGAAAAACTCATTTAGTACAAACACAAATATTGCAAATTCACAGATAAAATGAAGTTACCTGGGATCCCCAGCCCCCTGGACCTATAAAAATTTAAAAACTTCCTTAGGCTCAGAAAAAATATGTTTGTTTCCGCTTTCCCAACCGACCCTAATTTATAGTGCCAACCCTAAAATTATTTTTTAATGCTTTTGTCCCATGAAGTGCAAAATTTCACCCATGGAATTATAGTCTCCAACTTTGCAAGCTTTTCAAGACAGAAAGAAGTTTGAGTCAACTTTCTATAATAAGTTTAAGTCACAGAAATGCTTGAAAACACCATTTCTTTTGTCATTTATGTTACTTCTATACCCATTTTGATTAAAGAAGCAAAAAAAAAAAAATTGCCTACCTACCTACCCTATATTTTTTCAGCCTGAAAGCGGACACAAACATATTTTTTTCTAGGCCTTACATGGATACAACAAATTACAGATATAGCAGAGTAATTTCATATGTCCCAGTGACTTTGTTATAACCAAGTTTTACTGCCCTGCTTTCACAACATATCATTTGTAAAATTATATTGTTTCAGACGAAAGATAAGTGAAAGAGGCTTTATGTGTTTTCAGTGCACAAAGACTTCCTGTATTTAGCAATCGCAATAAAAATGTTTGCACAAATGTTCAACACTGTGTATGTCAATCTCCAAATGCTGGTATCCAAAGAAAGTTCACAAAAAAAAAAAAAAAAATGAAAAAATACACAAATGCAATAAGAAACCTCTATCGCCAAAGTTATGGCCAAAGCAAGGGTAAATGTATTTTTTAATATGTCAAACTCTAAGGTCAAGAGGTCATAAAATGTTGGTACACAAAGAAATGGTCTTGTCTTGAAGAAATGAAAAACCTAGCACAAACTGTTCAAAAGTTTAGTCAAGGCTTTAAAAATTTTATAACAGTAGATCAAATTCCAATGGTCATTAAAGTCATGAAATCAAAAATGTTGGTACCAAAAAAGTCTTGTCATGAGGAATAATCATGTACAATATAGTAGCCTTTTTTCTGAGAGATACGTACTGACAGCTAGTGTTGTAAAATCGGATAAATTTTACTATCAATTATCAAATTGAATCGAAAGAACACAATCGATTATATAATCGAAAATTTGAACGATTAAAAAAGGTTAAATTTATTCATTCAGCCAAGTAGAATTCCATGACATTTGACCGCGAACTTCAACTTATCTTTATTAGCATAGGACTTTTTACACAATTTACAAATAACCAAGTCCATCTGCAAATTATTTTTGCATGGAGGCCCATCGCCCTTTTTCCGAAAGCCAAAAAACTCCAAACTTTAGATCGTGTTGCACTTGACTAGGATATGGATATAATTTGGCGTCAACCTCTTCACAACGCATGTTCGCCATTTTGTTTACCGCCGATTAGAGTGACGTCCCTTTGGTGAATATAAAAGTTAAACCTGATCGGCTTGAAAAATTAATATAGTGATCTATCGATGATAATATTTACAATCGATTGTCGCCGATCTGGGCCTTTAAACGACGATTTTTCGATAGTCGGCGACCATCGTAAAAACACTACTGACAGCACTCTCTCTCTCCCTCATGGTCTTTTATTCTGAGTGATACATACTGACAGCGCTTTCTCTCTCCCTCATGGTCTGATCCACAAACAGTTTGGTTTTCTTCGGGACGTTGAGGCGAGAGTTCTGAGCGGCGGGGGGACCCCCAGACAAATCCTTCTCCTCAAACGTGGCATTCCTCTTCAGAATCTTAATCATCAGCCCTCCACCTAGAGGAAGAAAAGTAGTCTTACAAAGAAGTCCAAACTTAATTTTATTATCAGAAAAAAATGAATGTTATGTTTTTTCAACATGCCATGGAGCATTTAAGAAGCTAGCCTGAGGAGTGAAATCTCATCAAGAGAAAAATTAATACTAAATCAAAATATTTAATGGTGTACCTCTTGACTCAGTCCTATTGTATTTATTGTAGTGGACATTTTAGTAAATATATTTTTAATCTAAAGTAATTTTCAAAAAAGCAGGGTGAGCTTTTTTTTTCAAGAGTGAACTTTTTACAGCGTTGCCAAAGGAGCTTGCAGTGCAAATGGTTTTTTTGCCCCACTCATTACACCTGCTAATACAAACACAGCTATAATACTTAAAAGATAAGTACCTTTCAAGGTCATTATGAGAGTTCCTTCCTCCCGGCCAAACTGTCCGAACTTGAGCCCGGTGACGACGTCGTCCGTCTTGATGACGTTGACAAGGTACTTCTCCTTATAGATGTGGACCTGACAGTTATTGAGGGCCACTATCACCGCCTTAAAGCCCTTACTCTTGTAGTCTATCACCTCCATAGTCGTCATACTCCCCGGTAGCTTTACTGTCCACAACTTCTTACCCTAAATAATGGAATTTTATGACATTCTATAGAAGAGATAAACAATTTTCTTGCTGAAGTTTATATTTTCATTTATACATGTATCTCAAAACTTTGAAAACTCTCTAAGTTATATTTCTAAGCTTGATTATTGAAAATCATGAAAATTGCTTTTTGTATTTGAACTTTGGATATGCCTTATGAGTTAAGGCATGAATTTTTTTTCCGGAGATTACAAAGTTTGTTGTTTCCGGTTTTCTCCATAATGTTTATATAGCGAATGTTTATTTCCGGTAACGGGAAAATCGGCATGGGCTGAAACAGTAAACCTAAAAGGTATGTGAATATACAGGCTCCATTTATCATAAATCTAAAAGCTTTTTTTTTGGTCTTAGATTTTTCACTGAGGAGCATTTTGCCGTGTCCTTTTTTTTTCTTTGTACAGACATCTTTGCTTGCTTTTGTTTGCAAAACCATTTGCCTCTTTTGTTTGTATTTAAGGTGGGGGTGAAAGTATGAACGAGTATGTAAGGGAGGGTGTGTGTGTGAGTTTAAAATCCTTTGTATATATACCACTATGTAGCAAGCAATTTATATGGAATTTTGTTTATATACAATGGAAATGTAAATTAAAAAAAAAAAAAAAGCTTGATTTTTGAAGTCCTAATCTCTTAGCTTATTCTGTTTAAAAGTATTTAACCTGGAATTATCTCGAATCCACAGCTATCTCGAAGATTTTCCTCTGTCCCACTGAGTTTGAGATAATGAGCTTTGTCTGTAATTTTTCTTACCTTAGATGTGTAGCAGTGTAGAGATTCATCCATTGTTCCCACGTAAATTGTTTTATTGATCCTCTCCAGTCCTACAGGCTGAGAATTCAACTCAATACAGTTCTTTGTCGGGTCTGTTGTCCCCCTGAAAATTAAATTTTGAGTTTGAGGCAAGCTTAATTTGACATAACTAGATAAACTTTGTACATCTATTTGATTTATAAAAATTTAATTGTGATACACTGACCTTTTCAATGTGTATATACATC